GGTTGAAATGTAGGACATGTCCTGGGGAAAAAGAGGACATCTGGACACCCTAATTTGTGGTGCACTGCTTTTCATGGTGGATTCGGATTCCAGGGCTCCATCTGCACTGCAGGACTAATCCAGTTCGACACTGCTTTAATTGCCAAGGTTAAGTGCTATGGAATTCTGGGATCTGTAGTTCTGTGAAACATTTAAACTTCTCTGTCAGAAAGCTCTGGTACCACAACTACAAATCCTAGGATTTTGTAACACTCAGCATTGGTCAGTTAAAGCAGTGTCAGACTGGATTATTTCTGCAGTGCGGATGCAGCCCAGGAGACCAGGGTTCAAATCCCTGCTAAGACTTGGAAATCCATGGATTGACCTTGGACAAGTCCCACTCTCTCAGCCTCAGTGGAAGGCAATGGCAAACTTTGCTGGAATATATCTTGCCAAAAAGAAAAAAAAAAAAACTAGGAGGGAATAACCATAAATTGGATTTGACTTATTGCACAGAACAGCAATAAATAAGAGCCAGGATGGGGCAGTTTTTTTGAGTATTGGACTAGGAGTCTGAGAGACCAAGGTTCAAATTCCCCACTCATCCATGCAAACCCAACGGGCGACCTTGGCCAAGTCGCACTCTCTCGGCTTAGCAGAAAGCAACCGCAAATCGTCTCCAAAGAAATCTTGCCTGGAAGAAAACACACGAGGGGTGCATCTACACTGTTGCAATAATGCAGTTTGACACCACTTTAACTTCCATGACCTCATCCTACAGAAAATCCTAGGATTCGTAGCTCCCTCTTCTTTAACCAGATCTGAAGAGGAACATTTCTAGGTCTGAACTGATCTGGATCTGCGCATGCAAAACGGACAGATGTGGCAGCGCTCTCTCTTTTCTGCAAGCAACGAAGGCGACAGAAGCGAAGCCAACTCCATCCTGATAAAAAAAGTTAAGTTCTGCTGAATCTCGGGTTCATCCAAAAGTGACGTCCGGAGATGAGGAATGCTGGCAGGAACCACCTTTGTAACAAAAACAAGCCGCTTCTGATTTCCCCAGCCGGTTTGGGGCTCCTCTGAAATTCCTGCCTCTCCCAAACTCAGCATGTTTGGAAAGAAGGACGTCCGTCCGTCCATCCGTCCGGAAACGAGGAGCTCCCTTCGTCTTCCTCCGTCCGATGAGTCAGGAACCGGACCGGCCAAAAAGGGTGCCAAGGATGCAAAGTTCAACGTATGGGCTTGTTTCTCCCCCAGATCCATAGTTTCCTCTCCATAGAGTTCCTGATTTACTACGAAAGCAGCATGCCTGGTCAAGGAAAGCATCATTCCCGCTCATAGCGAACCCGCCTGGCCCCGCGCCAAGAGGACCGGAGCCAAAATGGGGCCACTCCAAAGAAACAGGAGGTCTCCGGATGCTTGGGGGAGCCCTGAGATAACACACAAGTACAAAAAAACCCTTTCCCCCTTTTCTTTTAAAGAGATGCCAAAATAAGAATACAAGAGGGGGGCGGGATCCTCCAAGTTAAAGATGATCTTGCTCAGAAAAGGCTGTCTTGGTGCAGCAAGGATTCTTTTATGTCGGAGATACTCAAACTTTGGTCCTCCATGTGTTTTGGACATCGGTTCCCAGCCATTTAGGTTAAAACATCTGGAGGACCAAAGTTTGGGAACCACTGTTTTAAGTGATCTTGCTCAGTGCAAGAACAAAACTTCATCTAAACTTTTGCCCATCACATTTTCTGCAATTTGGGGGGGGAAGTCTAACAAAGAACAGTATATATATATATATATATATATAAATACATACACATACATATATATATATATATATACACACACACACACACACACACACACACACATACACATATGCATACACACACACACATGAAAGGGACTTGTGGACATTTCTATTTTTATTTATTTATTTTCAGGGGTACATCTGAGTTTTATGTATGTCTGCTTCCAAGTAAGCCTTTGTGCAAAGGATCTCTGGGTTGCAAACTAGCATTCAGTTCTAGGCATGCTGACTCAGGAGTAAGATTCCCAAGCTGCAAACTTGAGTTCAGCATTGTGTGTTTGTCTGTGTATTTGTGTCCCTATATAAACAGCAGCGTGAACCTCTTAACCTCCTGCCCAAAACAGGATATCCTGCATCTCCAGATTCTGCAACAGATGGCAGCCTGGCCAACTTTTCACAAAAGAAAAAAAGAATACGCAGCCTTCCAACATCTCTAGATAAAACCTAAGCCGCATAGTTCTGCAACTTCCACGTATACTGGGAGATTAGAGACAGAGGAGAAAATGGTTTAGTTAAAATTTAATGGTGGGCAATTTTGGAGGTGGTTTAAAAATGATCTCTCTCCCCCCCCTCCCAGCTCTGGTCGAGAAAACGTGATTTTAAAAACTATTACGATAAGATATCAATTACAGTGCAAAGCTGAAGTGCCACTGAAGCACAAGGTATTTTCCGAACCCGAGACAGAAAATGCAAAATGCAAAAAGGACAAGTGCAATTGAAGGATAAGATATTTCCAAGTATGAGACAAAAAATGCAAGACAGCTGAAGTGGAAGATATTTCAGTCCCCAAGATAAAAACAAAGCCAAAACCCAGTTTGACCCTCCTTCCAGAAATGAACACAACGTACAATCCACCACGCTGCACACCAATGGTATGAATGTTGGACTAGGACTCTGGGAGACCAGGATTCGAATTCCTGCCACGAAAGCCACTGGGTAACCTTGAGATAGTCACACTCTCTCAGCCTCAGAGGAAAGCAAAGGCAAGGCTCCTTTGAAAACTTGTCAAGAAAACCCTAGGACAGGGTTGCCGTAAGTCAGAAATGACTCGAAGGCACACAGCCACAACAGCGCTAACAAAAAGACGCATGCCTCTGTTTATTTCTGCCAAGAGGAAATAATTCTTCAGTATTGGATCACAATCCTTTTGCATGCATTTGCACCAGAAGAGAAGACTTCAGGAGGCGATGTGCATTAATTCACTTCCAATGCAATCCTGGGTGCATTTATTCTGAAGTGAATCCTGCTCTGGTGTTTGGGTTTTCTTCTTTGGACTGCCAAAGTCTGCAGGCCATACCCTTGCTGGACCCTGAATTTAATTTCTTTTTTAATTCAAAATGTCCCCATTTTTTGAAAACTGGGTTTGCAAACCGAACATTACTTTTGCCGAGCTCTGATAACGCTGGTCCGCTCTTGGATAGGTTTGCAGATCCAAGGTTCGGCTGACAAGATTTAGAAGACTCTGGGGTCGTCCGTCCGTCCTTCCCGGCAAAAGCCGCTTTGCGCAACAGCATAATAATCCTTCTGCTGCCCATTAGTGGTTTCCTCTTTTCTTATTCCTTTTATTGGAATTGTAAAACATCAAAGCGCAAAGGGAAAGTCCAGCGATCAAATAATTAACTCTGCTGCATTTCCTCCCCATCTGCATGATGCGTACGGCAATCCCAACGGATTCCTGACACTCCGAGATGGAAGTGAATAATTGAAGCGAGGAATAAAGTCAGGAGAAAGAGTCCTTCATCTCTACAGGAGGGTCATCCCATTTGGGAAGCCCTCTCCACCCCACAAGTGGGTTCCCATAGACCACAAGAGACTGATGTGCCAACAATCGAGAATGAGGTGTATGGGTTTCTGCCCTCTTACTGTATTTCCAATGGCATGCTTTGCTCACAGAAGAGAGGAAGAAATGGTCAAGGCTCCTGGGAAACATTAAACCCATTGGGAGCATGATCAGGGAATGTGGAAGAGCCAAAGAGGAGCACATCTGCATTCCCCATCATACATGGCAGACTTGGGGTAAGACCCAATGCAAATAATAATAATAAATAATAATAATTAATAAGTTTTATTTATAACCCGCCCCTCTGCTCGGCAATCGGGGCGGCGTACAACAGATTAAAAATACAACAAATAAAAACAATTCCTACCTCCCACCTCATCACCCACCCACCCCTTAAAACAGAATTAAACCAACAAGAAGTTAAAAACAAGCCGAGATAAAATACAATACAGCAGGTCACCTTCACAATATCAAAATTTCAATATTACAATATTTCAATATTTCAAGCCGGGCGGTTATTCCGAGAAGGCCTTCCGGAAGAGATCCGTCTTTACTGCTTTTTTAAACGCAAACCATTATGGGATCCATTTGGAGTATCTTCTGATGGCGTCTACACTAGTGATGGCGGAGAATCCACTTTGGGCTTCAGCCTGAACTTTAACGGAGATACAACAATACAATAAAGTATTCATAAACTCATTTTTCAGCTGGGATAGAAATAATAATGAACACATCAGTCTGTGGGAAAGCCAGCGT